CGCTGGCCCACAAATCTGTTTTTTCGTGAATTGTAAATGCATTTTGCGGGTCCACACTATACGGGTCTGCTAGATGCTAGAGATGCTCTTATATTCAGCAAAGAGTCCCCAAGTTTTTTTTGTTGTTGAAAGAAATGGGTTTCCCTGCTGCGCCAACTTTTATTAAGAAGAGGCAAACAACAGAAAAAACATGGTTATACAGCGCTCGATCACAACCAAAATAGCTGCAACGAAATTATTGCAACCATAAAGTCGACTATGACCAGCACAGGGGCTACAAGAACATAAACAGATTGAGAATAGGATTAGCTAGCTAGCACAGAGCTTCCCATCTGAAAACTGACTTGTAGATCACCCCGCACAAGGTTCACCTCCAGCCAATCCTAAGGAGTTCTCATCAGTGATGATTGAGGAGCCGTAAGAGCATCTCCAGCCGTTGTGTCCCCCAGAAGGCGTTTTTTCGGTCTTCTGGAGAGGCCCCGGCGAAAATTTTACATTGGGAACGAAGATTTTTTTAGCCATCCCCTCACCCTAGCACTTCTGTCTCTTCTTCCTCTGTGCGCCGCCTCATCTTCCTCACTCCACCGCACCGCCACCACCACGTCGGCCTGCTCGCCACGGCCTTTGCCATGTCGTCCCCGCCGGTCTGCTCGTCGCGTCCGCCGCCCCTGCAGCTCGCCGCGCCCGCACGCCCCTGCAGCTCGTCCCACGCGCGCCCGCTTGTCCCGCCGCACCGGCCTGCTCGCCCTCCGCCGCCAAACTGCCTTCGAGGCCTCCCGCGAGACCGCCTGGCCTCCACCGCGGTCGAGCCGCCGTCCCATCTTGCCCTGCTCCATCCACGACCGCATCCCCGAGTCCCAGCTCGCGTTGACTCGAACAGCGGCCGAGGCCTCTTCTGCGTTGAGCTACTTCGCCTCGAGCGCCCGCGCCGTCGACGCCGGTTTGCCTCGCGCTTCGCGGACCTCGCGCCGCCCTGGCTCGGTTCGCCGCCGCCCCGTCCGAGCTGGCCACGACCTGCGCCTCCGCACCTCTGCTCGCTGCCCATGGCAGGCCTCGCCGCCCGCGCCCGCCCACAACGTCGCCGGAGGAGACGACGAGGAGGTCGAGGGCATCCGCCGCCTCCCCGCACCGTCCACCGTGGCCCCGCGCCCCTGGCCTGCACCCCGCACCTCTCGCCCGCTGCCTGCCCTGCTCCGTTCCTGGGTGGAGAGAAGGAGAAGAGAAGAGAGAATCACGTGGGTGGACCCCGGACGAAAAGTGGGGAGAGAGAGAATGGGAGGCTGGCGGCGGGCCCAACCGCATGCAAAACACTCTCTCTCCTCCCCCAGCCGCCCCCCGGGATCCTGAGTTTGGGGTGAGAGCGCCGGCCAGGTTTTTCGCCAAATCCGGCGATAATTGACGTCCTGGGAGCGTGAGTGGAACATTTTTCAACCGCCGGCATTGAAAAAGTGCTCCTGGGGGGCCTAGTGGAGATGCTCTAAGCATCTGAGAAGCAGAGCAGCTTGAGCGCCGCAACAAAGTACTTTCCACTTGTGTACAAAGGAGCTCACCATGCCTAGAATGCATTTCAAACTTCTTCAAGTGCAACCCTTACACACAAATTCATTTTGAAGCAACATAAGCTCCACAAAGGTAGCATGTACAATCAAACTAATAGCAACAACTTTATTATTCTTCCAATTGATAGCTAAATCACCAAATGAGCAAGGAAGAGGGATATCAACCACTTCAGAAATTATTTGACAAGTGTTAACAACCACGGTGCAATCAGAGAAAAGATGTTTTAACATTTTCCTCCTCATTACAAAACAAGCACAAATTGTGTCTACCACATGGCGCCTTTTAGCAAGATTATCTCGTGTGAGGTTCCTCCACCGTAGGAGGCACCAGCACCTGCGTCCCTGGCCAATGCCCAGTGGACTGGGGGGAGGGGGGGCTGCCGCCGGCCGACGGTGAGCCAGCACCGAGCTCACACGACGCCATGTCCGTGGACACCGATGACGATCTGCGCATCAGTGCAACGGTATCACGATCACCATCATCGAGCACCGTACCTGCGAAGGGAGCACGAGCACCACCCGCGAGCACATCCCGGGCTAATCCTGACCTCTCCTACCCGAAGCACTAGCTCTGATCCGCCCGGGGCCCGGTTCTAGCGCCCGAGTGTGAACCCTAGATCCATGCCATCCTCGTTGCACGTGCGGGCATGCGGCCGGCACCATCGACACCCGCCAAGCTCCGCGCACCGTTGGCGCATCTCCAGGAGCAGGAGGCCGCCACCGCCACTCCTACGCCACCAATCGGCTCACGGACGTCAGATCCCCAACGCCGAGACCCCATAAGGCCCGTGCCACCACTGGTCATTGGCCACCAGAGCTCGCTGCCGCTAGCAGCACAGAGAAGCGCCCGAGTGCAGGGGACACCCGAACCAGCACCTCCACCAGCGCGGTCGACGGTCCCAAGCCAGATCCCACCGCCGCCACGACAGAGGGAACCACCACACGCTCTGAGCCACCGCCGCCAGCCCGTGTCGCCACGTCCCATGGCCGCGCCGCCAGAGGGCAATGCCACGCGTCGCCACCCTCCGGCAAGGGGAGAGGGTGCCCCACTGCCGCTGCCCAGGTTGGCAGTACAAAGGGAGAGATACTTGATTCGCTGTTGTTTCACCACTCTGAAGCTTCGAAAGTCAAATTCTTCTCCTGGTTGGCGGTACAAAACAGGATTTGGAGGGATGATAGGTTGGAGAAAAGGCAGTTGGGTAAATTGTAGCATTTGCACCCTTTGCAAGCGGATAACGAAACTTTCTCCCACGTGTTCACAAATGCTTGTACACGATGCGGGTTTGGCGGATGGTTAATGAGTGGTTGGAACTAGGAGCGCTTGAGATAAATAGGTGGGCGACGGAGCGCAACACAAAGAGTTGATGGACTAATATGTCAAAGCCAGATACCGCAAATCAGAAGGTCATGGCTTCCCTCACTATGGTTGTCAATTGGGTTATTTGAAACGATAAATGCTAGAGTGTTCAGAAAGAAAATCCAGGCCTCCCCTCCTCCCCTCTACATCCTAAAGCTGATCCAGGACGAGGCCAGACTTTGGATCACCGTTGGGGCCAGGCATTTGAGCATCATCATTGCCGCGAGAGTAATCCTTCTATATTGCTGTTGGTGTTGTTTCTTCTCTGACGGGCTGTGCTGTGGAGCCGGTGCCATGTACTATGGACTCTTTCTCTCTTAAGTAATGAATGGGGCAAATCTCTTGCCTCGGTTTCAATAAAAATCATGCTAATCATTGTACAATAATTGTATCTCTAGCCACCAAAGGCCGGCTCGTTGTAGTGGAACGGAGCGTTTGGAAACCCAGGTTCCTCTTCTCTGGAGATGAGTCCCACCAGCTACGATGCCTCTGCTACACATCAAACGGCAAACGCTCCAGCTCGGCTCGCACAAGTTTAAGTTCGCGCCAAATTAAGCATAGCTACCTCGCACTGCACGAGCGCGTGAGCGTGCTCCGCTGCCAAAAGGCGTGCAAACCAAAGCTTGATCAGTAGCACAGGCCGTCGATGAGACCAACGTATCTTCAAAACCTGCTCCCGATTCCACCTACATATAAACGGGCAGAACAGAGCGATCACCTGCAAACTTGTTCTTGCTCAAACAAGCCATGGCGCCAGTTGTGGATTACAGCCAGCGTGAGACGGAGATCAAAGCCTTCGACGAGAGCAAAGCCGGCGTCAAAGGGCTCGTCGACGCCGGCGTCACCAAGCTTCCCACCATGTTCATACACCCTCCGGAGAACCTCCTCAACTCTTCACTCCCCGTAGACGACGAGCGTCTTCACAAGGTTCGCGGCCTTCGATTCCCTGTGATTGATCTCAGCGGGTTTGATTGCCCAGAGAGTCGGAAGGAGATCGTGGAGGAGATAAAGAAAGCGGCCGAGTCATGGGGATTCTTTCAGCTGGTCGATCACGGGATTCCTCTCGGCGTCATCGAGGGAGTCCAGAGAGGTGTCCGAGCTTTCCATGAGCTTCCTCAGGAGGAGAAGGCAAAGTGGTACTCGCGTGACTTTGCTCAGAAGGTTAACTTCTTCAGCTTTCATGGAGATTTCAAGGTGACGACCCCGGCCGACTGGAGAGATACCTTGTCTTGCAAGGTTCTTGAAGACCCTGCAAGCTTTGAAGCAATACCACAAATCTGCAGGTGATCCATTATAACTAAGTTCACACACACACAAAAAAAAAATAACTTTTATGTAGAGGCCGGGGGTCGTCCTCCTTTTCTAAAAAAAATAACTTTTAAATTAGCATTCCCATGTCAGAAAAATAAAAAAAATAGCTTGTGAAAGTGAACCCCATTTATTTTTGGTAGAACATAATTAGAAGTCATTAATAAACTTGGTTAGCTAGCTGATTCATTCCGAGTTCAGGGTTTTGAATAAGTGTTTTCTTTTGGAATAACCTGTCTTTTTTTATATTCATAGAATAACTAGTCTTTGATATATGCAGATGTACATACAACTAACAAAAATTTACTATAATATTAATAAATATGAAAGATTAGCGCACTTGGTTAACCATATCATCCTTTGTGTAAGAGGTCAGATTCTTTTTATTTCTCATTAGCCTAAATAATATTGTTGTTTTTCTGGATCCGCCATTATCAAAACCTATATTTTTGGTTAATTTATGATTTTATGCTCTATTCATAAATAAAATATTAATATTTAAAGGTTTTTTAATCTACTTTTTAGTAAAGTTAAAGACGGCTCACACGAATTGTGCATAAGACCGGTCATGATGATTCTGGTGTATGAGTAGAGTTTGGGCCTCTTCGACTTATGACACTTTTAACTTCATATATGATTCTAGTTGGTCTTCCTGTTGGGGATGATTCTTTGACTTCTATTTTCTGTGAGGATGTAAATGACTTTAAATTTGGTTACTTTAGTATTAATATATCACTCCAATCTAGAAAACCAAATGTAATTTTCTTTCTAATATAATAGAGATCAATCTTTAATTTATAACTAAAGTGAAGGGTGTTTTTGTTTATAATAAAGATAAAACGATCTTTTTTATAACATTGTGAAAGTGTACAGAGAAGAAGTGAGGAGGTACATGGAAGGCATCGATGGAGTTATGAGGAAGTTGTCTGAGTTATTATCAGAAGCTTTAGGTCTTGGAAGTGATTATCTAGCGACCACAAGATGCTTCAACTCAAGGTCAATGGCGTGTCACTATTTCCCGATATGTCCAGAGCCACATTTGACCATGGGTGGGACCAAGCATACCGACCTTGGGTTTCTGACCTTGCTCCTCCAAGACAGTGTCGGCGGCCTTCAAGTTCTTCATCAAGATGTTTGGATCGATGTTCCTCCAGTCAAGGGTGCATTGCTGGCAAATATGGGTGACATGATGCAGGTATCGTCACACTTTCACCTAACCAAATTGATATACATTAGTTATATATTTATACATTCATTCATATGAAAAACATATTTAATTGTTTATTTACTTCCGATCATAAGTCAGTTATCTTATCTTCTACTCCCTCCGTTAGGAATATTTTTTACTTACAATATTCTACTATAAATTTTATTTTAAAATAATTATTTTTTATTGTTAGTATACAATTGTATCCCAATTTAATCTAATATATAAATTATGTATTTTTTAGTACCTCTTTTTTGTGAATGGGTGTTGATATAAGATTGAATACAATATATTTTCAAATCTTTCATTATCTCAAGTTCTAGTCTTTAATTTTAAAATTATATCAAAATAGTGCATAAACTCTGAACTATTAGTAAATAGGGAAAAAACTATATGAAATGACGTTACCAATTGATATTGGACCAATCACATGCATATTTTTATTCTTGTTATTAATGTCACGTTTTCCAAAATTGATTTTTATTTGTTATTAAAGATTTATGGACGGTTTTGAAACAAGTTCAAAATTTAAGAAAAAGGTAATTTTATAAAGAATAGTTTTATTTTTTAATAATTTCAAAATGAATTAGCCATAAACATTTTTAATAAATTAATCACCAACGCTCATTGATCACTATGATGGATTTGTTTGAAATCAAATTTCTTATTTCTTCTTTTCACAATTGTGTAGATTACTACAAACGGGGGGTTCAAGAGCGTGGAGCACCGGGTTCTGCTCAAACCAACCGTACAACCACGTATCTCAATCGCATGCTTTTTGAGCACTGATGATCTTGATAGGCCATATGGACCAATAAAGGAGCTTTTATCAGAAGATAATAGACCCATTTTTGACCGAGTCATATTCCGCGAGTACATGAAGAAGTATAAGTTATAAAACATCAATGGTGGTGAACTCCGTATATTCCATCCCGTCAAAAAAAAACTCCATATATTCCATCATCCTTCGAAAAATACGGAGTAGATGTTATTATTATAGGCGGCCATGGTTATGAGTTATTGTGGAATGTATCTCCTTTACCAGAATCGTTCCGTTGTATGATTTGTTGAATTTTTTTTTTCAATGTGAGCGCTTGTTGTATGTTATCATCATTAACATGCGGGTCACGTGGTGCAGGCTCAGAAGTGTTGAGAATTAATTGTATTAATTAATTAAGATTTTAATCCCTGCCTAATCACCAACAGTTGCTTTTGGCAAATGTCGCGACTTGTTACCGAACGGATGCCTATTCGTTATCAATAATGAGATCGCTGTTCGTTACTTTTGTCTCTATAATCACGTTACCGGCACTTTTCTCTGCGGAGAGTAATTAGGCCACAAAACGAGAAAGAGATAGGCCGTCCCAAGAACGAGCGACGGCTGCGTGCACGGCGTCGCCGGGATGGAACGGCGCGAGGCAGAGCCGGCTGCGCAGCAACGGCGGCTGTACGCGACCTTTCCAAGAGAGCAAGGAGGCCACCCGAGAAGAGTCGCCTCTCCATCAGCACTGAACACGAGTCCACGGTCCGCGAAAAAGACGACCGCATGCATTCATTGGTACAGGAGGTTGATCAGTGGAATGCTAATTAGTGCCTGTTCGGATCATCTCCACTCCACAACTCAGCTCTGGGTCCACAGAGGACTGACCATTGTTAAACCAGCTTGGATGTGTCGTGGGAGGTCAGTACGGAGTGCGGTTTGTTCTCAAACAAGTTGTCAACGCCCGATTAGTCATGGGGATCCACAACCTAGGAGCGGGGAGTGGAGCCAAGGATTTGACGTTGTCGTAATCAACCGATGATTGATTATGCTCTGCGAGAATCACATTAATAAAATCAGGCACAAGAACCAGGGCGATTGCTCCCTATTCAGCGGCCGTGCCCAAAGTTTCATTTGAAAAGACAAATGAATCGTTCTAACAAAGAGGAATCTAGACTGTATTCTCATGAAAGAAGGGCAAATATTCGTAATGAATGAGATGGACACAAGTCGTCCTCTGATCATCTCTACTAGGGACACCTGAACGATGCAGGTGTATTAAGACAAGACATAAAAAGGATATAAACCGTATCTGGCAAGAACAAAATTTGCGAACAAAACCTTGCTAAGCTATTAACGAACTGAGCTCTCAAAATTGTGGAACGAAACGAATGATGCGGTATGATGAAGGCAGCATCAGAGTCTAGCAGATCCTCAGATGGCAAAAGAAGACGAACTACCCAATCTGTAGTTCAGTTTATAGGCTGCTGGAGTCCCTTCCAAAGAGGAAACGCCTTCCCCAATCAGTCACAACTAGCATCCGTGTGCGCCAGCTGAATTGCTTGCTGTATTTGGTAAAGAGTAAATAAATAACCATTAGAACCAGCATCCAATCAGTGCTTGAAGTGGAGAAGGAACAAAGCATACTGGATAGCGAGAGACTTACCTTGCATAGACAGAATACCACAGCCATTGAGTGCTGTGGCCTACATGTACCCAATCACCAGGCAGCTGTGCAGCAGTCTGCTCTCCACCCAGCGGAGCAAACTGGCCGAGATGCCTGTACCTGTACATGTGCAATTTGGGATGATCAATTATAGCTATGACAATGAAATTCTTCTATTTCTACAACAAATCAGCACCTCTTTGATTTGGAACGATGAGTGACATAGCTAAACTGCCAAACATATATCTACAGACCTTTACTGGCACTTGATGATAATAAAAATCAGATTTACATTTTATTGACCTTGCACAGCAAAAATGCAAGGTTTACTTTTAACCATCCAGTTTATTACCTGAAAGGTTTGAACCGATGACGCCCTGCGCCCCTAATCCTCAGAGGGCCTTCAGGATTTTCTTCACAAGTATTCATCCTATTGAAGCAATCTGCCAGATAAGCTCCCTCTTGTGCAGCAACCTGATGCATGGAATAATCATTATTACATGCTTAGCATATCATCAACGCTGAAGTTGATTTGCCACTCTGCATAGTAGGCAATGTTGAGTTCCTAAGACATACACAGGAATTACCTGAGCTGTTGCTGGGAGCATCTTGACTTGCGAGTCCACTTGAGCAAGGGCTTTCTTGAATTCTTCAATGTTCAGTTCTTCTGTCTCCTTGTCTTTCAGTAGGTCATGGAAGCCCTTCATTTGGTTGGTTTTAAGATACAACTCCACCTGTGGGTACCTTTGATAGATGTCGCCAAGAACATTTTTTATGTTCTTTACAGACAGAGTGCCAGAATTATCCTTGTCTGCTACCCGGAAGATTGAATCAACATCTTCCTGTAATGAATAATAATCAAACACAGATGTCAGAAACCACTGAAATGCCGGAAAATCATCAAGTATAAACATGTATACTAGTTGGCATAGCATGGTATTTTTTTTGCTAAAACAAATGTAGAGCATTCTTCTATAGGGGGACAGAAGAATGGTTATCATCTAAGAAGCTAAACTTTTCCACCTCAAGAGAGAAAGAAAGGATACTCATGTCGATTAAAGCATCATACCAACAGAAAATATTCCCTAAAACTTGAAAGTGTTACTCCTATATAAAACTTCCAAGTCCAACTCAAATGTTGAAATATCTGACATGGTAAACTAAAATGATACTTCAAAATTGATCAATGCGCGTACCATCACTTTTCTTTGACTTATAGTTGCACAGTCACCAAGTGCATATACATTGTCACATCCAAGAACCCTAAGCCACTCATCAGTTGCTAGCACACGCCTGTTTGCCTACAAAAAATGTATTGAACATCTTAAATGTGAATAGTGAAATATGATTTGTTATGGATGCAGGCCGGGATATACCTGACCAACTTGCTTCATGAAATCCATAATTATGGGACGGGTTCCGATTCCAGTGGACCAAACAGCCAGGCCGTAAGGAACAGCAATCTCTCCAGTTAAAGGATTACTCATGGTTATCGTCTTATCAGACACCTTCACGACCTTAAAATTTGTCTTCAAATCTATGCCTGTCCTCTTGAACTTATCCTCGGCAAAATTGGTGATTCTTTTGTCAAACCTGCATGAAACATGAAAAAAAAATTATCACCAGAAGGTATCTGTAATATATGTGCTAGTGCTGCCAGGAAATTCCTACTCAGTTGAATATAAAAGAAATGACAAATTCAAAAGTGAATATTTTACAAATGCTACAGAAAAGTGCTGAAGATGTCTCAAGGGTCTTACATCGTAAGGATATGCTCTCCAGCTTCAATTACTGAAATACTCACATACTTCTTTACATCAGGATACAACTTTGCCAAGTCCTCATTGACAAAGTCATGCAACTCTGCAGCAAATTCTACCCCTGTTGGGCCACCACCAATAACAACAAAATGAACGTTCTTCTTCCGCTCTTCATCAGTAAGATTAGGAAGTGCAGCTCTTTCAAAACATTTCATGACACTCTTCCTAATCTTTTGAGCATCTTCTACTTCCTACACAATAACAGATATATCAAATTACGACAAATTGTACAAAATGTATATATAGCTGCTTTGCAATAGAATGTAACCTATAAAACACTTGCGCTCAAGGGCACGCACTCACAAGTAATGCACAGCAGCACACAACACATAGTTATCATGATGAAAGGAAGGACACAGCAAATAGATGCAAGCTGCTATCCTACTAAAGGGGATAAGGGCATAGTTTGTCAGTACAATTGGGAAAAAATTGTCAATTGGAGTGTATTGCATCAACTTGATGAATAAAGGTATGTTAAACAGAGCAGCACGCACAGTTATTTGATCAAGGTTTAGTATGGGATAAATCAAAAAATGGAAGTACAATTTGTATCTATCTAATGACGGATAACACAGGTAGGTACTGACCTTCAGGAAATGGCAATTTTCAGCAACTCCTGGGGTGTTGAAAGTATTTGGTTTCGCTCCAACAGTTACAACAAGGTAGTCATAATCCACAACAAACTCCCCATTGGCGTCAGCATTGGTTCCATCACCTGATTTGCAGTGGATCTTCTTGCTTTTTGGATCAATCTTGTAGCACTCTGCTTCCCAGAATCTGAATGCACCACCTCTCTGCAAAATACACAAGTTTACCGTGCCAACACTTCAGATATATCAATGGTATTGGTCAAACTAGTACAATTTTACTTGCCTATAAGGTACAACATACTAGGAAGATACAAAATGATGCAGAATAGAAAAGTAAGACCCACATATGTACTATACTATCAAAACAGTACCTTTCTCACAATATTGCGAATTGGCTCCACAATACTGCGTGCTTCAACCGTGCCACATGTCACACTCGGCAACAGAGGAGTGAACATAAAATAGTTGCGAGGTGATACCACATGGACATCATACAAAGAAGTGTCGATATTTCTCAAGAAACTTGCACCTGCCCAACCAGTTCCAAGTATAACCACTTTTTTCTTGCCCCCCGTTCCATCACTGATTTGAAGAACACGGTTATCCTGGCAAGCATAGCTTAAAGTGCCAGCTCTGCAATGAGGTTGAAGAAATAAAGTGTCAAGGGTTCTGATATAAAATAATGTTCATAAACAAATAAATGCCACTTCAAACATTTATGTGGCTTATAAGCTAAAGATTTAGTCCATTTACCAATTAGTAACTTATATAACTATAAACGAAGTAACTTACTATGGTAAAAATATCCCTTATTTTAGTAATAGGTTCCAATGGTGACACTGGTTTGCAGGTAAAAATGGACAGATTATCTTACGAACTAGATTGTGCAACACAGCACTACAACATCAAATTGGTTTAAAACCTTACTTTATTTTTACTGTGGTATAAATAGACTAACCATACTACTCTGCTACCTTACTGTATCCACATGGGCAACAGTATTTAGGATTGTATAGTTGTAGCTAATACCCAACTCCACTTGTTACGAACAAATGTAAAGACATGATCGCCTTATATACTATGCAAGGCATATTGTCTGTGTTGGCCTCCGTATCTTCAGCACTAAATAAATAATGTGATGTACTAGTAGGTTTCTACTTCAAAATCACAGAATTTCCGAATGCCAAGAACGACCTAATGAAGCCAGCTTGAAATTTCAGGCCGGAGACGGAAATGGAAGGATCTTGCAAGTTACAACATAATTAATCCCTCACGCCCACGAACACAACGCACGCGGCAGACAATTAGATCCATTTACTTTACTGGCTCTACAATGTATAGATGGATCTACAAGTAATATTATCAACTCACAAGGGCAAAAGCGAAACATCTATGGTGCAGTAATGAAGTTGCTGGTCATCACCGGAGCAATTCGTCAATTAAACAAATCAATCAGCCCGCTTAAATCCGCGGTTCGGATCCTTTCCGCGGAACTACAGATTAAGAAAATCTCAGCAAGCACCAAAAGGTGGCAAATTTTGCCGAACCAGCAAAGGGCAGGCCGCACAGCTAGCGCGCACAATGCACGGCGTCGCACGTACGGATCGATCGAACAAGTGAACACGAGCAACGGATCAAAACATGAGGAGGCGGCGGGAAAGGGAGAGGAGAGGGGAGAGGAGGGGAGACGGCGCACGCACCCTACGGTGAGGACGACGAGCCTCTTCTGCCAGCGCGGCGTCCGGCGCACGGCCTCGAGGGCGCGGCGCACCAGCGAAGCTCCCCCCGTCGACATTGGCGCTGCGTCGATCTGCGTATGAGCGGGGCGGCGGTGGGGCGGGGTGGGTTACCAAGGCGAGGAGGAGGGGAGCGGGGTTCGCTCGCTTCCGAACACGCGGCGGCGGACGAGGGAGACGAGACGGGACGTGCCCCCTAGCTTGCCTAATTATAGCAGCGGAGCCGGGTAACCAACCGATGGTTCGTGCCCGGCGATTTTGCGCCCCGGCCCTCCGCGCAGGAAATGAATCGCGCCTCGCACGGTCAGCGGCGAATGACGCGGGGTGGGCCTCAGGGGCACGGTTTGAAATACTGGATATCGCGGGGGCGGATCTGCGAGAGGGCCGCGGTACAGCTCGCGCCGCGCTTGCTTTCCTTTCCGCTCGGTCGCGGTTGGCACGTTCGCACGCCGCGTTGGCCTGCGATCGGACGGCGCGGCGGTGTCGAAGCGCGTACGTGGACGGCCCGATGCTCGCGAGACCCGCGTCGGGCGGGGAGGTTTTGGCTTGGGACACAAGAAAGAAAGAGGTAAAGAGGGCAGGGAGGGTACAGGCGAGCAGCGGGGAGATATTTTCGGCGAGGGTTCAGACGGGCGGAGGGGAAGGGGGCGTAGCTTGCGGCGGCCCAGCTGTACAGCAGCGCCTAGGGTTATTATTTTTCTTCTCTGCTGTCTTGGCTTTGGGTCTTGGGAAAATCTCATGTTTCGCTTTTAAGGCAACATTCCTTTGCGCAATATTCTTTTACCTTAAATATAATCGCAAAAAACATTACTAGTAGGGTATAACTTCTCTTCGTATAAAACTGAAATTTAGTATGAGATCTTCCTATATATTGGGAGGAAGATGCTCTACTTATAAGTTGCCTATAAATGTAATTTTGGGTGGTTGTGAGTCGTGGACCAATTTGTTTGTGGGACCCATGGGTTAGACACCATAAAGTCACGTGATTTAAGTTAGAGAAACCCTGTCATATATATGTAGCTAGTTTTTTTAATAACAAGAAAATTGATTGTACCTAGCCGCCCCCGCCTCCCCTCCTACCCGCAGCCGCGCCTCCCCTCCTCTATTGCGCCGCCTCTCCCGCCGCGCCGCACCACCTAACCCTAGCCGCCGCCTCTCCTCCTCATCCCTGCGTCACCGCCGTGTCATCCAACGCCTCCACCTACTCCAACCCCTTCGCCGGGCCGCACCCCGCTGACATCCGCGACATCAACATCCACGAACACGTCCCCATCATCCTCGATGCCACTAACTCCACATACTTCGCATGGAAGACGTACTTTTAGTTGCTCTTCCGCGAGAACAATCTCGTGGATCATGTTGACGGTACCGTCGATTCCCGCGCCATGGTGGGCGACTCTGAGTGGACCGCGATCAACGCCATGCTCATCCAGTGGTTCTTCACCACCATCTCCAAGGACCTATTTCACACGGTCGTGAGCGATGGTAATGACGTCCATGCCATGTGGGTGAAGCTCAACGGCCTCTTCACCGACAACAAGCTTCAGCACTACGTTTTTCTGCAGCAGGAATTTTTTGACTGTCATCAGGATGATTGATGTCTACTACGCAACCTTCTTCTTGTAGACTCGTGTTGGGCCTCGAAGCGTAGAGTTTTGTAGGACAGTAGCAAATTTCCCTCAAGTGGATGGCGTAAGGTTTATCAATCCATGGGAGGCACGTGATGAAGATGGTCTCTCTCAAACAACCATGCAACCAAATAACAAAGAGTCTCTTATGTCCCCAACACACCCAATACAATGATAAATTGTATAGCTGCACTAGTTCGGCGAAGAGATGGTGATACGAGTGCAATATGGATGGTAGATATAGGTTTTTGTAATCTGAAAATAAGAATACAACAAGGTAGCAAGTAGCAAAAGCGAGCGAAAACGGTATTGCAATGATTGAAAACAAGGCCTAGGGTTCATACTTTCACTAGTGCAATTTCTCTCAATAATGATAACATAATTAGATCATATAACAATCCCTCAACGTGCAACAAAGAGTCACTCCAAAGTCACCAATAGCGGAGAATAAACGAAGAGATTATTGTAGGGTACGAAACCACCTCAAAGTTATTCTTTCTGATCGATCTATTGGGCTATTCCTATAAGTGTCACAAACAACCCTAGAGTTCATACTAAAATAACACCTTAAGACACACATCAACCAAAACCCTAATGTCACCTAGATACTCCAATGTCACCACAAGTATCCGCGGGTTTGATTATATGATATGCATCACACAATCTCAGGTTCATCTATTCAAACCAACACAAAGAAGTTCAAAGAGTGCCCCAAAGTTTCTACCGGAGAGTCAAGACGAAAATGTGTGCCAACCCCTATGAATAAGTTCACAAGGTCACAAAACCCACAAGTTGATCACCAAAACATACATCAAGTAGATCACGTGAATATCCCATTGTCACCACAGATAAGCACATGCAAGACATACATCAAGTGTTCTCAAATCCTTAAAGACTCGATCCGATAAGATAACTTCAAAGGAAAACTCAATCCATTACAAGAAGGTAGTGAAGGAAATATGCCCTAGAGGAAATAATAAAGTTATTATTATTTCCTTATATCATGATAAATGTTTATTATTCATGCTAGAATTGTATTAACCGGAAATATAATACATGTGTGAGTACACAGACAAAAACAGAGAGTCACTAGTATGCCTCTACTTGATTAGCTCGTTAATCAAAGATGGTTATGTTTCCTAACCATAGACATGAGTTGTCATTTGATTAACGAGATCACATCATTAGGAGAATGATGTGATTGACTTGACCCCATTCCATTAGCTTAGCACTTGATCGGTTAGTTTGTTGCTATTGCTTTCTTCATAACTTATACATGTTCCTATGACTATGAGATTATGCAACTCCCGTTTACCGGAGGAACACTTTGTGTGCTACCAAACGTCACAACGTAACTGGGTGATTATAAAGGTGCTCTACAGGTGTCTCCGAAGGTACTTGTTGGGTTGGCGTATTTTGAGATTATGATTTGTCACTCCGATTGTCGAAGAGGTATCTCTGGGCCCTCTCGGTAATGCACATCACTCAAGCCTTGCAAGCATTGCAACTAATAAGTTAGTTGCAGGATGATGTATTACGGAATGAGTAAAGAGACTTGCCGGTAACGAGATTGAACTAGGTATTGAGATACCGACGATCGAATCTCGGGCATGTAACATACCGATGACAAAGGGAACAACGTATGTTGTTATGCGGTCTGACCGATAAAGATCTTCGTAGAATATGTAGGAGCCAATATGAGCATCCAGGTTCCGCTATTGGTTATTGACCGGAGAAGTGTCTCGGTCATGTCTACATAGTTCTCGAACCCGTAGGGTCCGCATGCTTAAAGTTCAGTGACGATTGTAATTAGGGTTTTTGTGTTTTGATGTACCGAAGGTTGTTCGGAGTCCCGGATGTGATCACGGACATGGCGAGGAGTCTCGAAATGGTTGAGACATAAAGATTGATAAATTGGAAGCCTATATTTGGATATCGAAAACATTCCGGGTGAAATCGGGATTTTACCGGAGTACCGGGGGGTTACCTGTAACACCCCGGATGTAACTTTCCCAATTTGTACTCCAACTCTTGCCGTTTCCGGCGTTAAGTTATTTTATTTTCTCGGGTTCGGGTTTTTGTCTCCGTGTGTTGTTATCATTGTCATGCATCTCATATCATGTCATCATGTGCATTGCATTTGCATACGTGTTCATCTCATGCATTCGAGCATTTTCCCCGTTGTCCGTTTTGCATTCCGGCGCTTCGTTCTCCTCCGGTGGTCATTTCTAGCTTTCTTTCATGTGTGGAGATTAAACATTTCCGGATTGGACCGAGACTTGCCAAGCGGCCTTGGTTTACTATCGGTAGACCGCCTGTCAAGTTTCGTATCATTTGGACTTCGTTTGATACTCCAACGGTTAACCGAGGAACCGAAAAGGCCTCGTGCGTGTTGCAGCCCAACACCCCTCCAATTTGGCCCAAAACCCACCTAACTCTGCTCCATCATCTAGAGCGTTCGATCACGATCGCGTGGCCGAAAACCGCACCTCATTTGGACTCTCCTAGCTCCCTCTATGCCTATTTAAAGAACCCCTCCGAATCCGGATCTTCCTCTTCCCCGAAACCCTAAAAAATCGCCTTCGCACGCCGCGCCGGACACTCCGCCTCCGCCAACCGCCGCCTGCCACGTGGTAGATCGCCTCCACCGGCGCCCGCGGCCCGCCGGGCCCAAGGAGAGCCCCCGGGGCCCGGGTCTTCTCCGTCGCCGCCCGACCTCCTCCTTCTTCCCGCACCGCTCGCCGGATCCCCGCCGCCACCGCGCTGGCACCGCGCCGCCGCTCGCCATCGCCGTATGCTGCCGCCTCCGCCTCGGTCGCCGACCGGCCGCCGCCATCGCCCACGGCCGCGCCGCCCTTGCCACCCCGACGCCGCACCCGCCGTCCCGTGCTCCGGCGAGAGCACGCCGGCGATCCCCATCGGCCTCCTCCGGCCAGTGAGCCCGCCAAGTCCGGCCATCCTCGACTTCCGTGCCGCTGCTACAGTGTTTTCGCCGATCCAGATCTCGCCGTGAACAGTAACCCTAGGTTGATTTTTCCACTAAGTCCTCGGATTTGCAGATCCAAGTGCTCCTGTTCATAGCCTCGTAACTTTGCATCCGTAGCTTCGATTCATGCATATAGCATATCAAAATGTTCATCTCAGAGAGTACATCATTTCATTCAATTGCATCATTTTCATTTGAGTTCATCTTGATGCCCGAAATGCTGTTAGAAGGAGGCTACTTGAGATATTTGTCAGATCTGCTGCTCCATTTAGCTTTTTGTCATTTTTGCCATGATTATTGTGTGCATGATATGCCCTAATACTCTACATATGTTTTGTTAAGGGTTTTGTCATCTTTCCAGAGGTGCAACCCATGTTTTTTTGTGATGTGTGTGGTGCCTAGTGCAAGCTTGCAAAGTGGTGCACTTGGTAATTCTGTTTTCAGG